TATATATATTTTCAACCCCAACTCATTTGACAGGAACAAATTGGAAAGGTTTCCTTAAAAAAGACCCAAGGCAAGAAAATTAGATATCAATTATACACAATCTGAACCGCATGGATTTGATATTAAGTCTCCAAATGTATATGGGTGGGGAAACTAATTCAGGGAGGTTAAGAAACTTGCCCAGAGTCATCCAACAGGTAAATTGGAGCCCAGCTCTAGTTCAGTTCTGTCTGATTATAAAGCCCACTAATAGTCCAGGACCCCTCATCTCCCATGAAATCCAATGCAATCTGGGTGGGGAGGTGTGTTCCTTAGCAGGAGCCAGTGATCAAGAGACAACAAAGAGGTCTATTCTGCTTAAGAGCCACATCTGACAAAATGTGTTGGAAGATAAGACTGAGCTATGGCTTCTTGGACCCTACGGGATCAAGGGTCTCAAACCCAAAAGACTGTAAGTCTTGTTTTTGAGTGTTTTATCTGGAATAATTTATCCAAGTCTCAACACAAATAGGACTGAAGCAATAAAAAGCAGTTGGAGCCTGGAGTCCTCAGGAGGTGCTGGCCAAGTTAATTATTGTTAAGATTCTAAGTACCATTATGACCAGAAATCTGCATTCTATTACCAGTTCATGTCTAGCTTGCTTTCTTGGCATGCCTAGTTTATTTTTGAATAAAGTTTCCTTGTGAAGAATTCCCGGATTCTTGGGTTGATGAAATGGGAAATGGCCTCTTGTTTCAGTCTTACCTCTCTTGTTAATTCAGAACACGAGATCAAGTGCTAGAAGGGGGATCCTGGGAGAAGTTGGGGCAATTAGTGGAGGCTAATTCCTATAATCGAGGTCAACAATTTAAACACCTAAAAGAACTGTGTAGTTAAGCGAGATCTGTGAAGTTGTGCCAGGTATGAAGTAACAAAAGTTAAACTGCTTATATCACAACCAAGTATAATATCTGCCTAGTTGGGATGCCTTCAAAACTGTGCAAGCGTGAAAAATGGCTGAACATAGTCTGCTGTGGAGTAGGGTTACCCAAATTTCTTGGTCTACTTAACAGAGTGACCCAAGAGGATTTCTTTAAAAAATATGGATTTTTTTAGGCCATTTCCCTAAAAAGACTGATTTGATAGGCCTAGAGTGAAGCCTAGGAGTCCTCATTTTGAAAAAGCTCCCTAGGTGATTAATCAGGCAAGTCTGAGAAACGTGGGTCTAACATGATGACTCCCAAATTAGACTGCTCATCAGAATTAAGGCGAGAACCTTAAAAACGTCAGACTCTGGATTAATCTCCTGAGATGATTCTGACGCAACCAGATGGGCAGCCAAGCATTTCCCCAATACTCTGGCATTCAATTTTTTAAAGCATCACAATGTCTGGCACGTGGTAAGTACTAAATATTTGTCAAGCAATAACTCCATCCTTCAGAGATACCTTTCACAAAGTCAGATGGTAAAACTGATCAGGAGAGGGGCTCTGGTCCAAGTTGGGAATGAGCCCAGAGCCCTGGTGGCTTGGAATCTCTCTGCTCCCTGCAAGTCATGCCTGGATCCACGGTGGGATCCCTGGGGGTTTTCAAGGCAGCTTGGAAACCAAGGTCATGGCCATTCTTTCATGACAACAAAGAAGAAACAATTCCTAAGAGAAAGACCAAGTAGGTGTTGGGAATTTTCTTGATACAAGAATAGCAGGCGATACTGCTATCTAAGTAGACTGATCTAAGGAAACCACTGACCATAAGGGAAGTGACACGTTAAAGAGGAGGAGCCAAATTTATACTGACACAGCTCAGAATTCTAATCACAACCTGGACTCTTTAATCAACCCATCATGAGAGGAGGTTAATGTTAAACTTTTAAAAGTAGATTTCCCAGCCTCTTCAGAGTTTCAGATGGCAACGAATACTTTTACTATGATAGAGTATTCCAACGCAATGTTTCCCAAAGTGTAGTCCTGCACCCCAAACTAAACCAAAACCAAACCAAACCCACTGCCTTCGAGACATCCCAAACTACTAAGTTATAATTTCTGGGAGAAAGGCCAGGGGTTCTGTATCCCCCAAAGCCCCCTGGGGTTCTTAATGCCAGTAAAGTTAGTGCTATTACCACAAAGATATTTTAACAAGGATTTTGTTCTCTTAAACTTTTTGTTACTTCCAGAATCTCTTATGCATGTTTTTATAACATAAACGTGAAAAGTAAAGAGAAAAAATGTTAGGAAAAGTCAAACTGAATACGCTCTAATTCTATTTCTGCCTTTAATACTAAAAACCAGTGTTTAAGTCAAAACTGTTCATTTCAGTGCTATTGGTGGTATTTAGTATCAGTCTTGATTTATCGTAACTCTTGGAGTAGTACTATCTTTTTTCCATTTTCTTGAGACTTATGGAGAAGATAAACAGTAGATGAAGGAAACATGCCTTATTTTCCTGAATAATAACTTCAGCATAGTCCTCAACCCTCCATTCAAGGTAGATAGAATATTTCTATTATCAAGAGAGAAATGTCAGAGGGTAATCTGAGCTCTCTCTGTGGGTTTTATAAATTTTGTTTGTTTGTTTGTTTTGCCTGATGAAGGAGAAAGTTTGTAGGACAATGGTGAGCAAACTGGGGTTCCCAGATCAGCAGAATCAGCACCACTGGGAACTGGTTAGAAATGTGAATTTCTGGGCCCCAGCAAAAACCTAATACCTCAGAAACCCTGGGCCTCCCCAACCCCCGCAATCTGTGTTTTAACAAGCTCTTCAGGTGATTCTGAGGCATTCAAGA